TAAGTTTTTATTTTTTATATGTAATTTAGAAGCAAGCTTCTCTTTGTAAAATCTTCAATTGAATTTTAATAAAGTTAAAGGCATGGCCTCACCATTAATATTTAAAAAAAAAATATATTAAACTATTATATTATTTTAAAAAATATACTTGTATATATGATAAAGTTTGCCTTGATTGATTAAGATTTGTTTAGGTAGTACAAAATTGGATAATTTGATTGGTTAATTTATGTAAATTTATAAGTTAATTTTATTATATAGTTTTATAATCTAATGTTTAAAAACTTATATCTTAATAAGTTTTTATTCAAGTTTAATAATTTTATTGTCATTAAAATTAAAAAGACCTACTCTATAACTTTTATATAAGGATTAAAGTTTATTTATTTAATATATTTTTTTAAAAAATTAAATATAAAAAAAGTGATAAAAATTTGCAACTAATTATATATAGTAATGATTAATGTTGTACTCTATCCTTAATCAAACAATTAAAACTTTGCACCTAAAGATTATTGATATTTAGATGAGAGATAAAAATGATTACTTTAATTAATAGTTATTAAAGATATTAATTAATTAAAATTTTAACACTAATTAAAACAAATTCAAAAATTTTATTAAATTTATAAAATGAATTTTAAAATTTATGCTCTTTAATATAAAAATATTGGGGTTTAGAATCTAAGTCAGTATATTTTTTGTTATTAAAGTATAAAGACCTATTTTTATAATTAAGAATCTTGAAAATAGCAGATTTTCTTTCAATTCTATTACTACTGTCTTTCATTGTTTTCTTAAAAAAATTTAACATGATTGTGATTTTTTTTCTTAACAGCTTTATATAAGAATGCTACAAACCTAAAATATTTATGATATTCTATAAATTCAGCAATATAATAAACCAAAATATGTATATATGAACTAACATCCTTTAAATGATAAAGACTTTTCTTAAAAGATGCCATGTTTGGTTCACTTTAATAAAGTGTAAGAAATAAGTTAAGCTATTTTTTTGCTTAAGCTGTAAAAGCAACTAGATTAGTTTCTGATTGCTTATTAGCATGTAAAGCATAAGAAAATCTTATTACAAATGATTAATTAGCATAGCTTATTCTTTGTCAAAAATGATTTCAAAGTTAAAACTACACAATACTTTTTTCTTATCATTATCTATTAAAGATATATAAATCTAATTTTCTACATTATTATTCTGCCAAAACTGAAATGTTACTGAAATTCTTTTTATTTCTCTAATGATAATTTCCCAATTATAGTCATTATATCTATTTTCAGACTTTAGCTCCTGGATAGCTAATTCCTATAATCGGTTTCAAATCCTTAACATAACATAGAGTTCATCAGGTACATAGCAATCCAAAAGGATCATAGAAATAAAAGATGCTTTGAAATATCTAGGTAGTGGTTTTGCAACCTTAAGTTGTTTTATATTTTTTTCAATTATATATATTTTGTTTTTGATACTAATTTTTTTTTTTTGTATATAAGTACCAAGGGCAAAAATAATTTATATTAAGTGCATTAAATCCCAAAATTATACACAAAAACTTTCAATTACTACTAATAAAAGGTTCAATTTTTTATTTTATTCTAAAGTTATCTAATCTATTTTTGATCAAATTATCTAATTTATTGATTACTGATTTTATTATTTTTTTAGAAAGATTATAATTTTCTGCTCTAAAACAAAAATAATTATATAATAATTAGTAATTTTATGAATATTTGATACATCATCTAAGATCATACATGTAACCATTACATGTTTGGTTTTTCTGTCTACATTTTAAAGATGGAAAAAAATAATTTAAAACATGCCTTAAACATTGATAACTATACATTTATTTGTAATAACTTTTACTAAAATATGCCTATAATATTTTACACTTATATATACATTATCTCAAAAAATTAGCTAATTAACCAATGTAAGATATCCTAAATAAAATGCTCTACACCAATGTTGAAAATCTTATGTTATCATAAGAACACAAATATTAAACCATTTTCAATACTATTATATATCCTAAAAACCCTTTTTCAAATCCTGACCTTAACTCTAATACTAACATTAATATAAAAATTAGTATTAAGAATTTTTATATTTAAAACTTAGAAAAATCTAAAAGATATAATAAAATATATGATAGGTGCAAAATTATTATAAATGCATTTTATAATAAATGATTTGAAATTATTGTATATATAGTCAAATCATTTTGATATTTGCTTTAAACAAAAAAATATCTTTTATTTAAAACACTTGCTATTTCTACATACATATGTACTATATACCTATGTTGTAACCATTTTCTGATATATGAATATAAATTACTAGGTTATTTATATTTAGAACTTGTCAATTTAAAAGGTCTGGAATTACAAAGCATAATATCTGTGATCCTTCTACAGACTGCATTACTGATATATCATATCATCTCTTTTTCAATTTCTTGATTAGTAATATTAAGTAACTTATTTGTTGTTATAAGAGAAATATTTGCTATGTTTAATACAGAAACAGAAATTTTTTGGTTCATTTCATCATTAATTTTTTTGCTGGCATCTGAGACATCATGATCACATAGTAATTATATTAAATAACAGCTAAGTTTCAATATAATTTTCAAAAGATTGGACTCTGGTCAACAATTTTTGTAACTGCTTCAATATAGTTATTTTTTTTATCTTTATTTCTATTAAGATAATCAACTATATAGTTCTTTTTTTGAACATTCAATCAAAGTTCTTGTAGAATAGGTTAACCTATTGGATAATAAAATTTGTAAATTTTATTTTTAAAGATTATATCAATTTGCTTTGAAAATATGTAAGAACATTTTTCTTTTATGAACTTGCTCAATGTGTTAAACAATTTAAAAAGATGTGATTGATTCTTTTTCTCATATTCTTTTTCCATATCTATCACATTAAGCCCAAATACATGTATTTCTGAAAGTTTAACTTGCATATTAGAATTTCTTTTCTATGTAAAAAAACAAAAAGCAAATTTTTTTATAAAAAATTATAAAAATTAATTGCTAAAAAGAATTAAATTAACTTTTAAGTATTCATTAGCAGCTTTAGTTACAGATTCTTTCAATAATATTACAAAACTTTAATCATTTTTTTCAAACCTAATTATAAAAACTGGTCTATCTATTTTATATTTAATTTCATAATCAATTATATGCGGGTCCCTATCATTTTTCTGACAATCATTTCCCCGACACCCCCTTCTTCTACAATCATTTCTCTGACAATCATTTTTCTTACATGTTAATTTCTCTGACAATTATTTTCCCGACTCATTAATTTCTCCAACAATCATTTTTCCCGACAAGATCATTTCTCTGATATAATAATTTCCCTGACATGATCATTTCTCTGACATGATCATTTCCCTGACATATCATTCATCCAATATATCATTCACCTGACATAATCATTTCCCTGACATATTATATTCACCCGACATATCATTTCTCCAACATAATCATTTCACTGATAATTACAAAATTACTTAACTGATAAAATTATCTGCTTTTTTTGCATTGTAAAATAAATGAATATCTTATGTTTGCTTTTTTCAACTCTAATTCCAAATTCCCAAGATCATATGTTCTACTAACATTTACTATTCCGGCTGCTTTTTTTTTTTTTTGTATTGAAAATAAATGAATGTCTTATATTTTCTTTTCAACTCCAATTCCATAAAGATAGCAATTCCCAAGATTATATGTTCCACTTACATTTACCATTCTAGCTGCTTTTTTTTTGTATTAAAAATAATGAATGTTTTATATTTTTCTTTTCAACTCCAATTCTATGAAGGTAGTAATTTTCAAGATTATATGTTCCACTGGCATTTACCATTCTGGTCACTTTTTTTTTTGATTGAAAATAAATGAATGTTTTATGTTTGTCCTTTTTAACTCCAATTTCATGAAGGTAATAATTTCCAAGATCATATGTTCCACTGGCATTTATCATTTCGGCTACTTTTTTTTTTGTATTGAAAATAAATGAATATTTTATTTTTGTCCTTTTCAACTCCAATTTCATGAAGGTAGTA